CGGGCTCGCCCGGTTTTAGACGCGACGTCACAAATAATAATTCGGTTTTGCAATGTTTGAGGGTGTCTGGGTTTATGCTACTGAATGACCTCGGCAATCATTTAGGTGTACATAAATGTCATGAACATATTGTGAAAACTGGTACAATGACCGACGTGTTAGTGATGCTGCCTCTCGGACTACAAAGATTATGGTTGACCTACCCCATGTGGTGTGGTGTTCTACACCTTTCGTGCAGTGTAGGTGTAAACAAATTGGATAGAGGTTCCGCACTCCAAGAGGGCGACTGTGTACTAGGCGCGCGGCAATGGTGTAACGGTTAGCGTATCGAACTGTTATACCCAAGTTGGCAGGTTCAACCCCAATCGAGGTGGGCGAATTTGTTTGTGGAATGAAATTAGGTGCGCGGCGATGGTGTAACAGTTAGCGTATCGGCCTGTTATACCGAAGTTGGCGGGTTTAAACCCGATCAAAGCCCGATTTTAAGGGCGAAAAAATCCTTCGTACTACCCCTTCCTTTGGAGGGGAAGTCAAGCCGGCTGTCCCATGTTAGTAGATCCTCAAGCCTAAATGACGCCTCTGAACTAAATTGAAATCGCCTGTTTCTCGCCTAAGAAATACCCCCTTTCTCTGGTAGTTGGTGAAAGGAGCGTAGCGAAATTTGCGTGGTCAGACGGAAGAGAGGGCATGATGGTCCGAGTCTCGCCACGTAAAATAAGGCGTTAATTCAATTCAATTCAATGCAACACTGCGAAGCACCTTGGGGAAGCGGTTTTCCACGCTGCGCATGAGGTAGTTGAAGTAGTCCATGCTGAGGCACAGGTCCTCGTCGTTCATCATCTCCTCGCAGTGCAGGTCTATCAGCCACTCCTCGTCCGCCTTCAGCAGCTCCTGAAAGCAGCCCCCGCCACCATCACGCATTTTCACGGCTCTACTTGCTTCTTGGAATTGAACGCCGTTTTTTTAAATTTCTGATATAAACGTCAACTATTGCAACACTTATGAAACTTATTAATTAAAATTTTATCAAAAAAGAAAAAAATATTTATAGTTTGAATTAAACGCGTTAATTTTTTAGAAACGTTACTATAGAAAAGAGTCCTAACTTTCAATAATTCTAAGCAGATGGTTTCTGCAGTACGTAATTGTACAAAAATTGTTCTTAAACAAAATCTCATTTGTATGGCACGCAATGTGGGCGATACTCAAGTAATGTATTTCTCCTTCAAAGATTACTGTGCTGCTAGTACGATTTATTAAAGATTTTGTTAAATCCTGCTTTTCATTTGGATGACAGGTGAGTGTACGGTAATCCTGAAATGAATATAAATCGTATATAGTCAACGAAATCAAATGATATTTTGAAACATCTGATTATTTGCGGTACACATTGAAAGAATCCAAGTACAATTAACCTACCGTCTGTATAAAATAGTAAGATAATTAAGAGGTTTAATTGCCAATACTTTGGTACTAAGTTTTAAAAAAATTGTAAATTGTTAATAAGAAAGTCTCTTATAATTCCCTTTAATTTCAGTTGATGACAAGTCCACTGCAGTTGGTATTAGATGAAAACAGTATTCTGTTCTGGTCACCTCTGGTCAGTGTGAACACTAACGTGCAAGTTAATAACAAAATTCACTGATTCATGAGCTCATGAATTCGCACTCAATATAGATTATTTTCGTTTCGTTTTGTGATGGAAAATGTTGAAAAGTTTTCAGAATTTCTCTATGAAATCTGTAATAACCCAAATAGCTACACGTGTGCGAATTCTGCTTGAAACAGAAAATTTACTTATTCTGTAGATTTCGCCAACATTTAAACCGAATATTACGTATTTTCTACAATTCCGTGCACATTACTGGGCATTTACTTTTAAACGTTCATTAACTATGATCAATGTTATAAACAACGAAGTATTTTCTATTTCATACTACTGAATCGTTTAAATCACATGTAAATATACATTATATGCGCTAAAATAGGGTGGCAAAAAAGGATAAAAAATTGAAAATGAAACATTAAAAAGAATATAGAGACAAAGACAAAACATGAACTACCTATGTAATACATACCTATTTACCAACAGCCTTAAAAATGGATTTCTAGCTAGTTCTAGAAAGGTGCCAGAAGAGAAAAGGAAAAGAATGGCGTAAACGGAAGAAAACATCAAAATCAAGAAAAATACATCAAGCACAAGCAGAGCAGAGAAAATAATGCAAAATACGAATCATTCAAAACAATGAAAAGATTAACAAAGTTATTTCTATTGCTAAAAGTCTTCAAATCGTAACGGTGATAAGGTTTTCGCCAAACGTCCAAGCTCCAATTTTGGAATGGAGTGAGCGAGGGAGGACACACGGGAACTCTAAGAAGACCACCCATGATCACTCGTTTGACATTGCAGATTCCACACGTTGACCGGCGGAGTTTAGCTCAGAGCCAACGTTGCCTCTGTGTCTGCAGCGACTCTGGCAGGGAGGACCTAGATTTCGAGTCCAGACAGTGGCGGATTTCCGACACTAGGTAGTATAAAACTTGATCAAACTCAGCGCATTTGGAGGAGAATTCTGACGGTCGTCTAGTTTTCTGTTGTTTCTCCGATAAATATCGTTGAATGTCGAAGAAGTACCTTGACCAACGAGCCACGAACCGCGCGCGATCTTCTTCAACTATTCTCACCGCTTGCTTACACAAACTGCACTTAACACTATCACATATGTCGCCTGATCAGTCGCCGGTTTGGAGCTTGTTCCGGCTTGGGGGCGTCACGCAAGGGGAGATACCTGTAAGGAGAAATCCCCTGCAAGTCGACGTGCAGTTCAACGCCGGAACTAGCCATTCTGTGGTGAGGAACACCGCCACCTCCCGCAAAAAACTTAACTAGACTAAGAAGTCTAATGGCCATGGCAGTTGACGTATTCGGAAATATAAAACAATCAATTTCACACGGTCGTTCGATTGTTTCAGTTTTGTAAGCAGAGTTATGGCCACACACAAGCTGACTTGTGACCACACGGGAAGAAAATGGAGCCGTTTGTGAGAAAGTAATTTTTTAAAAGTTGTTTTTATTTCACGGAAAATTACACGAAGACTACTCATATTTTCAAAAAATTGGGTATGGTCTTATTTCAATATATCTTTGAAGAACGCACTTTATTAAGGAAAAAAGAACTCTATCTTCAATAATGTAGGTGCAGGAAGATTTCGAAAAAGTTTGAACTTTTGTGAGTTTCAAAAATTCTGAAATTCAACGAAAATTAGACCTACGCCATTTTTAAGCGTTTTTATGCTATCCGAAAGGGAAATATTATTGTAAAAAATGGGAACAGTTTTTGAGAAAAGTTTAAAATATTCTAGAGGCTTCATGTAAAGTACTCTCAAAAATCCAAACATTCATTTCAAACTTCTAGGGCATTGAGTATTTTTAGGTTGATTAGTAAATATGAATTTTGCAGGAAATATTCTGAACGGTTTAGGCGTTAGCGTTGACCACAGACGTTTGTTGATGTTTTGCAGTCGATCAATTTTTCTGTAGCCACAAAATATGATTTGTGACTACCCAGCGTGTTGTAGGAAGCAATTTACTACACACATGAACAAGATTTGGCCTCGCAATAAGACATTTTCTATAGAATAATCGAAATACATAGGATTTCATAAATAGGGCACTTACAACTACAATACTTCCAATTGCAATACCGTAACAAAATTACAAAACTTTTTCTTTCCAAGAAATTAAAAAGAATTAATTATACTATACTTTACACATTTACATTTAATTTCTCTTCAATCTTTACAAGAATTTTTCAGAGAGTTGATCATATATTTGTTGTAAGAGAAAAAACATTTAGGCAAGGAGCCAGCAATTTACATAGGTACTTTTTACCTTTATTTAAACTTGATGAATGTAGTTCAAGTACGTAATAAATATTTAATTTATTTAATAATAATGGAAATTTTAAATATAAAATTAAATTTTATGGAGGATGAATAATATCCTTGGGAAATCTGGAACGAATTCGATTATATTTATAATTTAATCATAATTGAAATTTTTTGAAGGAGGTGAATTTGGTGATTTACTGGAAAAAGTTTGAGTCAGATTTTTGATATAAGATCTTTTTATGAAGCCGACAGCCGGTTACCGTTTACGTTCCAATGGGACGCATATTCGACCATACACTAGGCACCAACACACTTGCGGGCTTCTCTGATCTGGAGTAATCAGAAATAGAGACCCTCCGTGAAAACACATATGTGAGAGACAAGGGACAAACAAGCAAGCCCGAGGTGGGACTCGATTCCGCGTCTCTTAGGACCAAAGCGCTGAGTCGGTCCACGCTCGTAGCCATATTGATCAACCAGGTCGGCTGATGTAAGATTTTATTTATAAGAACTCTTTGCAGTTCTCTGTGAAATTGAAAGTTTGAAATAAACCATAGGGCATTTAATATTTTTCTTGAGAATGTGTTTTGTATTATTTGAATTTTGTTCAAATTTGTAGAAGAAACATTCCACCAAATTGGGTAAGCATATATAACAGAAGGACGGATTATAGATTTGTAAATTGGAAGACCACATTATATTTTAGATTTATTGTTTATTAGGGGAAATAATTATGAAATTTTATGACAAGTTATATTTATTACATTAATTGTGTAAGTTTTCCGGGATAATTTTTTGTCTAAAACTAATCCTAAATATTTAACTGGAATATTTTGTTGAAGTCAAGGAATTGGGGTATTATTAAGATTAGAGTGGGGAGGTTGAATAGAACTAAAAAAAGGAAAAATGTTTGCTTGTGTTTTGTCAGAGTTAATAGAAATTGTCCATTTATTGGTCCATTAATTGAATTTTGTATAACATTACGAGCTTTTTTAATATTATTGTGGGACGAAAACATTGCGGAGTCACCTGCATGTGCCTTGGGGAGCGCGGCCGGCCCTGAGCAGCCGCTCACTTGTCTTGTTTGCGGGCGGCGGCTGCGGGCTCACCTCGTGCGGTCGCAGGTGCAGTCGCCCAGCGCGGTGCTGCACTTTGAGCCACTGCGCGGCCTTGAGGCGCGGTCCCTGCTCCTCGGCGGGGCGACCGTCGCGCCGCCTGGCCGCCTCGCCGTCGCCCGCCGCGCCGCCCGCGCCCCGCCGCGCCGCCCGCGCATCGCCCTGCGCGCTCGCCCGCCCCGCTGCGCCTCCCTCCGCAGCGCACGACGGCCGAGCACGCAGAACAGCGGCCTTGGCCGACAGCGCGCCCATGGCGACGCGCTCGCTCACGCCCGCCGCGCCCCACCGCAGTGGGAGCGCTCTGCATTGCACTTTGCGCGCTCCACTCTGACATGGTCCGTCAGCATTCACTCCGCACGCCGCCGGCAGCCTTCAGCTGGTACGATTATTCTATACAACTCAAGGAATGCGAGCTCAATTTACATGTACGTATTTAAGACATTATTTTGGATAAGAATGACCTAAACATTAAAAAATTTGTATAAATGATTCAACTATGTATTTTATGGCGATGGTGAAAATCGGTCATCAACTGAAAAAAAACGAGGGAGATATTTCTGGTGGAACTTGAATCAGCATATAATTTGGAAGTTAAGGTGAATTCAATGAATTATCAAAGTGAAAATTCCTTATAAACGTACGTCACATATATTCTGAGTCAAAGGAAGATCACGTTCAAAGATTGTAATTAACTATTTCAAATGAATTGTAGTAAACGTGTTCGTTAAGTTTTTGCTTATTCATTTCAATTAGTTATTTAATTTTATTGTCAAGTACAGGGAAAACTCTTAAAACGAATTAACAACATATCGTTTTACCAATTCTTCTAAACAACAATATAAAAAAGTGTACTTTATCACTCTTCCTGAAATATTTTTTTAAAAAGTAATTCATATAATCATTTGTCAGCATGCTATCTTTAAAATATTATTGTAAAATAACTTATCTGATTAAAAGAAAGACTGTTTTAAACTGATTTTTTTTCGATGGCCATTTAACCTTTTCTGCTAATTTTCTTCGGCAGCAAAATTACTCTACGTTCTTCAATACACCTTGCTGTTCCTTAGATGTGCCCCTAAACATAGTCATGTATTAAATGACGAAATAATTTTGATCTGGATAAAACAATTCAAAAACTCAAAACTTTCAACACAGAGACATAATGCAAATTAATTGCTTTCTCTAATTGTAAATATAATTATGGATGTAATTATGAGACATTTTTGAAGAATATAATGGAGAATAAACTCTTCGTAATAGTAAATAAATCCTGCCGATCTTAGTTCTATCAAGAGAATCAATCGTATGTAGCCATAGAAGAAAATACCAACCAGGTTGTCGCCCGCAGCTCGCCTTTGATGGAATACTTAGAACATTATGTTTTATATAGTTCGATTAACTCACAGATAATTTTGCCGTAAAATTTTGAACATGTTTGTGGACAGTTGCCTAGTTTCGGTCTAACAATATCTTTCTCTACTTAGTTTTAATTATGAGTTTATATTGCACATACTTTAAAAATACGATTCAGTTTTAAATTACTTTCCTTTGAATTTCTGCGAGATATATTGTCAGTTCTAATGTCTTAAATAAACATTAACATTAATGTATTTTGTATATTATTAAATGCTACTGTCAACATTTACTGTTGTCTCATGCGTGTTTTACCTCTTATTACATTCCTGTAATGGTGAAAGTTATATTCAATGATCCCTGCCATCACCTTCTTTTTAATTACACATCTATTCAACTTAAATGGACTTAAAGGTTTTTTCATGAATATTTTGGACATAATTTGAATTTTTACATTTTTTTCATGTTTACTCCATTGAATTTAAACGAAAATTAAAACCTTCGAGATTTAAATAGAATTACCGTTTTTGTTTCAGGTGTCGCATACCAGATATGAACAAAAAGGATCTATACATGTATTATTTGTTGACAGACGTTTGCCTCTCTATGTAGATAAGATGCAAAAGTACATGAAATTAACGGATGGGAACCCATTCCACACAAATTCACTCTCGTGAATGTGTTATCATTGTGGAGGCAACGATTTGTGAGGGAGAAAAGCTCACGGCGGGTGGGAGAATAGATTTATGGCCGAAAGAACCCTCTTCTGACCGGAATTCTCCCCGCCTTCATCCCCCGGTAGGAGAATCTTCCTGAAATCGTCCCCGAACTCTTCGCAACAACACTGCTTGTAAACATGCGAACGCTACAAATCAGGGTTCAAAACCTTGCGAGCGCGGCTGAATTCGGGGCCGTGCGAAGCTGCGTGTGTCAAAGCGAGCGACGTTCTCGTACATTGGCTCGCGAGCCGTTTCCTGGGCGGGCGTTGAGTGTGGATAGGGAATGCGCCGCTCTCGTTGCTAGCAAACGAACGGGTGGGCGGGAACACATTACGTATGTGCAATCAGAGAGAGTGTGCGTCGTGGGTGAGTTGGACTTACGCGGCGAGGCCGCTTGTCTCGCGAGCAACAACTGCCACCCGCTGCTGTACTTAGCTAATTGTCTCTCTCCTCACGCGGAGCGCTTGTGCACGCTGTAGGAGGAACTCATGGAGACGCTCAGAATTGCCTTTCCACACACTTGTCTAGGAAACCTGTTGGTAAATTGAAATTCTGAATTGAGAGAATGTTTGCAAATCGACCACTTGCTTACTTACTTACAGAGATTTTAGCAATTCACTGTGAAAATTTCTTTCATAATTGTTATTCACAACAAACGTATCTTTTTTTTGTACTTATTTTTAATATAATTCCCAAATCTTTATGTTCAATCATCAAATGTTCATCGAACCCTTGTTTACGCAAAAAAATCAAAATAAGAAACATTATTTATTTGTTTAATAGGTAGTACAAACGTATCTTAATGCACTTTAATGCAAAACGAAATTGGAGAATTATCAAGTATTTTAATCAATCTTCCAATTATTGACATAATATGTCACGATACGAATATCGTACGTTTTATCACTGAAAAGTTTCGATTAAGTATACTTTTAAAATTTAACTCTTTGTATCACGAAAGGTGACTTCTTGATATTGAAGATAATTAAGAAAGGCGATTGATTAGTTATATGTTACATTACGAAATACTTTTTTGTTGTTAATAGTAGGTCACGGATGATTACAAGAGCATTGCAATAACACTTTCTACGACACTGACGTTCGTTTCGTAGTAGTTTCACTTGATGCAATCAAAGTGGATAACTACATTCATTTTCGTGCACACCTGATTAACAACAACTGTTTGAATGGCCACACACTTTTAATCACCGAGTATGGCTTTTCAATAACTTTCATATATTTTGTAATCAGCAATATAAATTAAACCACATTTTTCATTAGAAGGATTTTTCTGTCATTAGTGGCCCTACTAAATTGGGTAGAAATAATCGATTCTGTTGTAACTTTTCAAAAATATTTTCTATACGTAGTTTAAAAACATTGCTTTTGTTGATAACTTAAGATAAGCAGTATGCTAAAAATCGCATCACCTTTCTCCTAGTTGTAATCTGCAATATAATCCTGAAAATACACAACATGATTTGCAAAAGTCTAGCGGGTTCTGAAGGTAATGAAATCAGAAACATCATATAATCCATAAAATACACGATTACCAATGTCTTGTTTCAAAGTTTTTAGAGCAGATTGGATTAGGAAAATACAGAATGCCCATTTTCTTTAGGTGATTCGTTTTTTTAGCATTAATGTACTTTTTGAAAATTACAATTTTATGAAATTTGCTGAAGGAACTAACGATCTTTGTTTCAAGGGGGCGAGAGAACTGTTTATCTTGTGTTTGACGTAAATAAATTAAAACAAGAAAGGATTTACAAGACCAATTAATCACGTGGTAATTCACTTGAGAGAAATTACACTGATGATACTAACCTTAATGATTTCTAACGCAAATTGCTCATTATGAATTTCCGCCTAAAACGCAGGCGATCCTGCGTGCAAGGGAGTAACCGGGTGCTCGGCCTGAGCAATGAACCCCTCGGTGAGAGACCTCATGATTGCATGTCGACGAAGTAAAACAGCACTGCCAACATTAATCCATTTAATGCAGTAGTTGCCAACGTTTCAAACCCTACGGACCACTAAAAACTTAATACTGCGAACGACAGATACAAACATTTTAACTCCCAAATACTCGCCTAAGATGATGATGTATATTTGCCATTTTGCTAATAATCAGTGCAGATAGCATGCAATATAATAAAATGATAAATTATTGTTAACTTCGCTGATGGAGCAAGTCTCGGATGACCAAAAACACAGTAATGGGTCCATTTAGGTCCAATTGCTTTATCGCGTGAAAAAGAAAGGTATTAGAAAAGAATCGATACATTTGTGTG